TCACACCTCTCCATATTTGCTGCAGCACACTGTCCCTATGCTCACACGGGGACAGTAACATAATGACAAAAAGGTATGATAAAGCTAGGGGCTAAAGTGCCTCCACCAAACCGGGAGTTCCGTTTCCAGCCCTGTATAAATGCTGGTGTGGTGGCACATACCTGTAATACTTGGGAGACAGAGAAGGGAGGGAGAGGCAGAAGTTGAAAGTACTCAGCCTTCAAAAGGAACAGATACAGGTACCAGTGCAATGTCTCAGCAGGTGGAGGTGCTTGTTACCAATTCTGATGACCTGATTTGGATTCCCAGAACCCACATGATGGGAGAACAAACTTCAGCAAGTTGTCTATGTGCACGCACACACAGACACACAGAGTAATAAATGTAACCAAAACTATTTTTTAAAGAAGTAGATGCAGGCCAGACAGTGGGGGTGCATGCCTTTAATCCCAGCACTGAGGAAGCAGAGGCAGGCGGATCTTCGTGAGATCGAGGCCAGCCTGGGCTACTGAGTGAATTCCAGGACAGCCAGGGATACACAGAGAAACCCTGTTTCAAAAAGCAAGCAAGAAAACAAACAAACAAAAGAAGTAGATGCAGGAAATGAAAAAAATTAATTTCACTATAAGTAGAAGAAAAGATAAAATATATTTAAGAATTTTCACTTCCCATGGGGCAGGAAGCCCTGACTGCTCTTGGGACTGGAGAGGGAAGAGGAGAGAGAGTGGGGGGAATGGGAGGGTATTGGGAGGAGGGGAGGAAGTGGAAATTTTTTATAAATAAATGAATAAATAAATAATAAAAACTTGAAGACAAAACAAAAAAAAACAACAAAAAAAGAATTTTCACCTTATCAAATATTTGTTCAAAATCTTCACCCCCAGTTTTGGCATAAGGAGCATGAAATAAGTTCTCTCCTGCACTGGCTCTGAGGCTGCAGTCTAGAGCAGCCCTTTGGGGAGGCAACTTGGCAATATAGCAAGAATTTTACAAAAGATGCCTAGATTCCCAGCAACCTGACTCTGGACACCTGCTCCTAAATCACCCAATCACAGTGAGGAGCCAGCTGTGATGATGAGCGCCTTTAGTCTCAGTGCTGTGGAAGCAGAAGCAGGCAGATCTCTGTGACTCTGTGGTCAGCCTGGTCTAAAGAGCCTCAGAAAATATGACTGCGCACTGACCGTCATTACATAGTAACAATAGGAAGAGTAAAGTCCAATTTTACATGTAGACATATTAAAGAAGCAAGATAATAACAATTATTAACAGGACAGTGAAATTGTGAGTCTTTTCCACTTATTCAAGGTACCTGCGTGAAGCCCCAGGTCCCTACCCAGCTCTGAACCAAGCTGGGTTTTAACGCAGTTTCTCTAACTGCTAAACTGAAATCTATTTTGTTGTTGTTTATTTATGTGGAGGGGTAGGTGCTCATGAGCTACAACATGAATGAGTGTGGAAATTAGCCAACAGCTGCTGGTCCTCTCTTCCACCATGTAAGTTCTGGTCACACTCAGCTTCAGGCTTGGTGGCAATCACTTTTACCCACTGAGCCAGCTTGCTGACCCTTTTGTGTTGTTCGTTTTCATGTTTGGTTTTATGAAGCAGGGCCTCACTCAATCTTTAGCCCAGGCTAACCTCAAACTGTTGGCAACCCTTCTGCATTTCTGCCTCCCAAGCAGTGGGATTATAGGCATGAGCCACTATGCCTGTCTTTGAAATCCTGTTCATCTCTACAGGAAACATGGTTTCCTTCCCTAAGAGGGAATTTCAGCCTAGCCTCAGGCTGGGCTCCTGCTAAACAATTGTATGCCCCCCAACACTTCTGCTCATCTGAGTCTGAACATATTGTCTCCTTCCTCTCTCCTGAGGCCTGTTGATTCTGCTCCCTAAATACCTCTGGGAACACTCTTTGTCTCTGCTGCAGAGCAAACTACGCTGCCCTCTCACCAAATGATTGCAGCAGATTCCAGCAGAAGCTCACTGCTCCCATTTCTTCTCCGGCAATTGAGCTTCAAAATAGATGAATCAGCCCTCACTTCTCCGCAGGACCACTAGCGTCCAGGACACTAAGGATAAAGTCCTCAAAGCTTTAGTGAGCATGAAATTGCCACACCCAATGTCTAGCCTCCTCTAAAACGCACGTCCCATGCTATTCTACCCTCTGAACTCCAACTATGGGACCTTTCCTTCCTTAAAGTCCAGGATCAGAGCCCTTTGCCTCAGGACATTAAAAAGCTAGCCTAGGGCTGGAGAGATGGCTCAGAGGTTAAGAGCACTGACTGCTCTTCCAGAGGTTCTGAGTTCAATTCCCAGCAACCACATCGTGGCTCACAGCCATCTATAATGAGATCTGGTGCCCTCTTCTGGCATGCAAACATACATTGAAGGAATGTTGTATACATAACAAATAAATAAATCTTTAAAAAAAAAAAAAGAGCTGGCCTGCTCTGGGGGTTGCCTGTAGCTTTGTGCAATAAGATGTCCCAATGTCCCCAGATAACCTATTTCAACCATCCTCAGGGATAAGACCCCACCATGACCTGTCTGCAAGCTGCCACAGATACAGGATTCTACATCCTCTTGCCCTTATATCCAAAACCCTTTTGTGGTCAAGGAAGCAGGGACAAGGGAAAAGACAAGAATTTTGTTTTTGGAAGCTCTGGACTCCAGGCCTGGATCCTCCCCTTAGAAACTGGGAGAGTTGTCTGACCTCTCTGATCCCTTCTTCCTTCTCTGTAGTTTGCATGTGGAGGCAAAAGAGTCCAGTTATAAAAAATGTGCATTTTGATCCCAGCATTTAGAAGGCAGAAGCAGGCAGATATCTATGAGTTCAAGGCCAGCTGGTCTTGCAAGGTCAGCAAGGGATACCTAGTGAACAAAGCAAACAAAACAAACAAACAAAATGGGTATGTGGGGGAATGTGAACTTTGGGACTGGGGATGTAACTCAGTTGGCAGAGTGCTCACCTAGTATGCACAAAGTCCTGAGTGTGCACTCCAGCATCACATAAAACAGGCCTGGAGATGTGTGTTTATGATCCCAACACTGGGGAAAGACAGGAGAATCAGGTCAAGGACATCCTTAGCTACATAGCAAGTTCAAGGTTAGCCTAAAATGTGCGTGGATCCTCTCTCAAAAAGAAGAGGAAGAGGAAGAGGAAGAGGAAGAGGAAGAGGAAGAAGAAGAAGAAGAAGAAGAAGAAGAAGAAGAAGAAGAAGAAGAAGAGAAAGAAGGAAGGAAGGAAGGAAAGAAGGAAGGAAGGAAATATAGGCTTTGAAACTAACTGCCTGGGTTTAAATTCCTTTCTCTGGCAATACATACTATTCATAGAGCCTCAAAGCTTCAGTCTATGTACCAAAAAAACCATGGGGATACTAATCATCTGTGCATCATAGGAGTGTTGTGACAGAATACTCCACGTACTTAACACACCAGGAAGAACTCAGTATTGGCAGCACCAGTCATGGTCACAGAAAGCATCTGGCATTGCATTTGACACATTAAGGAGACTCAGTAACCCTATCCTCCTTCACCCCTTCTTCCCAGGATCAAGGAGGATACGTACAGCTGCCATGGCTACATAGAATTAAACTCAGGACATGTAGACTTCCACTTCAGATTTTGTCCAGATCTGAAAAGGGACACACCAACCCAACGAGGAAATGTTCATTACCAAAGACCGGAGGCTGTCTTCTAGGAAGGTGGCTCAGCTGCAAGATCATTAACACCTCACAAGAACCCACTAGTGTGGAGGAATTCCTTCCTGAAAATTCACTCATTCATAAAATTCATTCATTAACACTTCACAAGAACCCAGTAGTGTGGAGGAATTTGAGGAGTCACTCATTCATAAAAGTTCTCCACGTACAAAAAAACAGAAAGAGTGCTTCTAAAAATGTGGTCCATGGCCGTGGGTATAGGTGTGGCAAATCACTTACAGAGAATGCATGAAGCCCTAGGTTTGATTGCATTTGAAAAATTGAAAATAAATAAAAATTTAAAAGTTGGCCTAGTGGAACGAGTCAAGATCTGTGGACCAGCCAGACACAGCCAGACAGGCTGCTGGCCTTCCAGGAGAGCAGCCAGGTGGGTCTGTGCTGGCTGGTTTTATGTCAGTTTGACATGAGCTAGAGTCATCTGAGAAGAGGGAACCTTCAATGAGAAAATGTCTTCATAAAACCTGGTTGTAAGGCCTTTTCTTATTTAGTGGTTGATGGGGGAGAGCCAGCATCACTCCTGGGCTGGAGGTCCTGGGTTCTATAAGAAAGAAGACTGAGCAAAGCCAGTAAGCAGCATCCTCCGTGATCTCTGCTCCTGCCCCCGGGTTCCTGTCCTGCTTGAGTTTCCTGCCCACACTGCTTTTGATGATGAACTGTTAAATGGAATTGTGTGAGCGAAATAAACCCTTTCTTCCCCAAGTTACTTTTGGTCATGGTGCTTCAACAAAGCAGTAAGACAGAGGTCTAAGGCAGGAAACCCCATGGAGACATGGAGCAGAATAGAAGTAAAGAATTAGGACCTTGGATAAGGGATGGGAAAGAACAGACCAAGGAGGAGTAGATCAGGAGAACAGAGGCACAAGAGGAAAGCTGGCACAGGATAGAAAGGAGAAAACAGCAAGAATAGAAGGAGCCCGTTCACTTGCCCCCAGAGCTCCACTGTCTCAGACAAGGGGCATTCCTTAACTGTGCATCAGGACTTGGGGAACTCATCTAGTACATGTCCACCACCTAGGGAAAGGAACCCTGGAGAAAGGTCTAGCAAAGCTAGCCTTGCATCCAAAGAGGGACACAGACATACAAAAGTTGTAGCCTAACCTGGGCAGTGGTGGCGCATGCCTTTAATCCCAGCATTCGGGAGGCAGAGACAAGCGGATCTCTGTGAGTTCGAGGCCAGACTGGGCTACAGAACAAGTTTCAGGATAGGCACCAAAGCTACACAGAGAAACCCTGTCTCGAAAAACAAAAAGACAAAAACAAAAAACAAAAGTCGTAGTCTGGAGACCCTCTGTGAGTCTTGAGGTCTTGGATTTGATCTCCACAGAATGTATTAAAGGTATTCAGCCCGACAGATGGCTCTTTCCAGGGTGGAAGTATGGCCACTTCTCAAAGACACCATCTCAGATGCTGGTAGCGGGAGAAGGCACTTCAGTCATCCTGGAGACACACAAAGCAGTCAAGGGTTGTAAGCAGAGCATATCTCATAAGAGTCTCCTGGCAATCTTCAGATGAGTCTGATTCTGCCGTAGCCATGGGATCCCCAGCCACTCACTGCCTTGGCCTCCCATCATTAGCGCTGACACCCCAGCACTCCCCAGCCCGTCCAGCAAATCCACCATTTGTCAGTTTTACTGACACAGAAGGGAGCCCAGATCCTTCACACGCCCTTCCCTGGTCTTCTTTGGCCAAAGTTGTCCTTGCCCTTTCTGAGGTGAATACCTAAATTTTCTGTGATTTCTTTGCTCTAAATGTTCTGTTATGAAGCTTTTGGTATGAGTTCAGGTGAAACACACACTTCAGATAAACAGCTACATATAAACTAGGGTGTTAACTTAGTAGGGTGTTCACCTCGGCCCTGGAAGCATTGGTAAAACCAGGTTAGTATTCAGCCACTTTTCAGGCTTTGGAGTCCCGACTAAGAAAGAAAAAACATTTGGTTGCTCAAAGACCTTCCCGGAATAACGTATCACTTCAAGAGAAACATTTTGAAACTTAATGGCACTCCCTGGCTCTTTCTATAATCTCTGCTTCCAGTCCTTGCTTTTATGAATCTCTGGGGCTTTGGGTTCTGTTCCTCCAGCAAGAAACGCCTCAGGTTGTCACCCTCCGATAATTCCTAATTCCGCGAGGGAATTTTCCTGATGCTAACACACCAAGGAATTACGAAGGATTTATCTTGCCTTCAATTTATTTTACTTCAATCGTGTCCCATATGTACAAAACTCCCACCAAGGTCCAGGTCCACAGGCATCCCTTTGACCTACCCATTCCTCATCCTCCGCTCCATCTCCTTGTTCTCGGATCTCCACTGTGTCCCTCTGTGAAGACTTTTGGGCCATGATGTTGTCTGTCCAGGATGCCCCTGTCTTTCCATCACCAGCAAAATTACACTTGGTCACGGTCCCCAGCTCCAGCTTGGCTAAGGAATCTGAAAGAATAGAAGTTGAATGATTTTTCTTCTTCTTTTTTTTTTCCTGGTATGTAAATTCTTTTTGAGGTCAGAGATCTGTTTTTACAGAATTTAGTATATATAACAGATTCAAAATCCAAACTTCCTGACCTGTCAGATGGTAAACAACTAAATGTGCCAAAGACCCACCATTAAACAGGACATCTAAGGCTATACATTTTCTATGTGCGCAGATTTTTTTTCAAAGCTAAGAAAATGCAATCAAGAACATAACACACTTTAGTCACTTTATTGTATGACATTAAATAGTTGATGCTTCAACTATGAAACAGCACTTTGAATGGTGAAAACACAGATAGTGTATTGCCATACATATTGAATGCTTTTCTTCAAAAACACAATTCCAGTCCATATATATATATTACAAAACAGCCTTAAAGGAAGAAGTGACATCCTTTCTACAGTACTTAAGATAGTACAGCACTGAAAAGCAGTCTAACAGAAACCAAGACAGGTCTTCACAGCTGTATGATAGCAGCAGCCAAAGCCGGGTGCTGGGCTGAAACATTACTCTACAACTGGAACAAAACATATACAATATCACAATTCTAGGTCAAAACGCTTTACACCCAGAGAAATAAAACAGGTTACAAAATGTGTAGAATTTAGCAGGCAAGACTGTATTACACGCCAAATGGCTTTTCTTCTTGTAGTGGACTAGCCAGGCTAAGGCACTTCATTCTGGTCGGGTCATTTACATCTGGATTGGCTCTGTTCTCTGTTATGGCTACTAAGGTTCTTGGTGGGAATCCCAGAGCACTAGAAAGCAAGGGCCAGCTATAGGAGTTGGGTGGTATCCTGAGATATGGTGCGTCCAGGCTAATGGCCCCAGGACACTTGACCATAGACGTAGGAGTGAAGCTCAGGACCACAGGTCAGGCCCCCGTGGACAGCCACACTTGGCCTTCTCACACAGCTCTCAGCAAGAGAGATGGGAGCCTCTGAAGGGAGGCCAGGAGTCCCCACAGCAGTGGTTCTCAACCTGTGGGTCTCAACCCCTTTGGGGGTTGCGTATCAGATATCCTCCAATACAGATATTTATATGATGATTCATTACAATAGCAAAATTACAGTTATAAAGTAGCAACAAAATAATTTTATGGTTGGGGTTCACCACAACATGAGGAATTGTCTTAAAGGCTCACAGCATTAGGAAGGTTGAGAACCTCTGGCTTATGGGCTATCGGAACAGGCAAAGTGAACCACGGTGCTCACCGATAAAGGGGCCATCGCCCCGCGTCTTCAACCGCACTCCAGTCCCCAGTTCGAGTTCCATGGCCTCCATCTCTGATTCCGGCATCCAGAATGCCACCGTCTGGTCTGGAGTGAGGCCTTCTGTCAGCTCCAGCAGGTCCGGCTTGTTCACCAGGCCCTTCAGCACCTCGAGCGTGAGTCTGTCAGTGTCCCCCTTGGCTTCCGTCTCTGTAGAGCATATGGTGCAGGGGTGTTAGCAGATACGGAAACTTCTCCAAGTACTTTCAGGAGCTGTTGCAGGCATCCCTCCTGCCAGGGCTCATCAGAGAAGTCCACAGCAGAGGCTTTATGACCCGGACTCTGGAGCCAGGCTACCGGGAGCAAATCTGGACTCTACTACAATCTGGGCACGTGAACTTTCGCTTTGTCCCTGGAGAATAGGGATAAAAATGGTGCCAATCGGACAACCCTAACATGTAGTACAGGGGAGAAAAAGCGAGTAGAGCATTCAGCACAGTGTCTGTCATGGAATCAGCCCTCGTCAAGGGTCTTTGGTCTTGTTATTCCCATCTCAGAGAGGAGAAAAACCTCTGACATAGACATATGACAAGACATAGTGGGGGCAGTGTTCAAACATTCACAGTACAGTCCTGCCTTCCAACCGAGACTCTGGGACTAAGCAGAGCTCCTTCAGGTTCTAGAACCAGCACTCAGCTTATGGTCCCCACACCCTCTGCTGGCCTACTCCAGGCTGGCCCTTGTTGGGGAACATTACTTTCAGGTGTGTGACTTTTGTTTACGCTGCATTTATTTAACTCTGTGAAGCTGTGTCACTGTGCCTGTCCAAAATGCCCGATGGTCCTAATAAAGAGATGAACGGTCAATAGCAAGGCAGGAACAAGGATAGGCAGGGCTGGCAGGCAGAGAGTATAAATACAAAGAGAACCGAGAACAGGGAACAATAAAAGACCAAGGAACAGAGGACATCAGTGGCCAGCCACCCAGCTACACAGCAAGCCACGAGGAGAGAAGTAAAGAAAGGTATACAGAAATAGAGAAAGATAAAAGCCTAGAAGCAAAAGATAGGCTAATTTAAGAAACAAGACAAGCTAAGGCCAGGCTTATTCATAAGAATAAGCCTCCATGTGTAATTTATTTGGGAGCCAGGGTGATGGGCCCCCCAAAAGGCCAAAGGAGTGAAAGATCACACAACACACCCTGGCAGAGCTCAGCAGCTCAGTGAGGAACCCAGGTCCTAACCCTGCAGGTGGCAGGGTTCACAAGGCAGTAGCTGACTGTAAGGTGCAGAAGGCATGCATGGCTGCCCCCAGACTCCTGCGCTGTGTCCCCAAGGCTTGTCTAGTGGTTCTGCCGTCAGCACTTTCCTGTTGCATGGGTCAAAGCAAATCCCTTCTCCCTTGAAGTTGCTTTCGTTGGGTCATTTTGTCGCAGCACTAAGAAGAGTAATTACACACTAAAAGTAGCTACTACAAGGAGATTGAGAGCCACCAAGCAAACATCTGGACAGGAGATCAGAGAGTGCTGGACCTGGCCCCGTCACCACACACAATGATAGAGCCCAAAGCCAAGTCTGGAAAATCCTGCCAGACTTCAGGAAACAGGAGCACTGGGGATACTAGCCTGACTCCTGGGGCTATGGTGGAGCACAGCATTCTCGGGGGATGCTCAAGCCAGAACCAGTCTAACAGTCACTTGGGGAGCGAGAGCCCAGGATACCTACTGTAAGACGACATGAGGAAGCCTGTGTTCACCTTCCTGGTGGCACTGAAGTTGGGCTCGATTTCATTTCCTTTGGAGTCAAACTTCCGTCGGTGGATACAACTGGGCCGGATATACAGCACATAGTAGCGCTCCTGGGTGAGGCACAAAAGGGGGTGAGGGCACTACCCCATTCCCCACCCCACTCTGCCCACCTCACCCCTTGTCTCAAAACCCCATCATCCTACACTGATGTGTAGGCCGAGCAGGTGCCTGATTCAAATATCATCCACTCCTATACTCGCTAGAGTGTCTGTCCACCTACCAGGCCACACAAACCATGGCAGGGAATCACAGGCCTCCAAGGCTTCCACACAAGTAATGACCATAACCTAAGCACCAGGGTCCCCAGATGCAACAAGGCAGGATGGATGTTGTCAACATGCCACAGAAAGGACACTGAGGACCTGGGGGGGGGGGGAAATCTATTCCGCTGAGATATATATATATATATATATATATATATATATATATATATATATATATATATTCCAGCTATAGTACTGAGGCAGATCACCCCAAGACTCCCATGCCTCGGTTTCCCCTATCATGTGGGAACAGCATAATGCTTCCTTTCAAGCACATTACAAGGACCCAGAGACACATGTGGAGGGGCACCTTTCAAAGCAAGAAATGTGCTGAAAAGTTATCGGCCATGTGTTCTCATCCGGCCAGGCACAGTTGGGGGAGGTAGGAGGAGGGGGGAAGGAAGGGGAACTGTGGTGGGCATGTAAAATAGAAAAACAAAAGCAGGCATAGAAACAGTACTCAGAGATGGAAGAAGCAGAGAGTTTGGGACAGTCAGAAAAGGTGAATTCTCAAAAAGCAGAGCATCCTACAGGTGTGGGGACAAGGATGTGGGAAGAGCAATAAAAGCCTGAAACTGGCCTGAGTGTCACCTGCTGGCCTGGCATATACCAGGCCCTGGGTTTGAATTCCCATAATTCAAAATGCTGCATAAGGCTGGTGTGGGACCCAGCACTGTGAAGAAAGAGGCAGGAAGATAGAAATTCAAGGTCATCCTCTGCCATACGGTGAGTTCAAATGAACCTGGACTTTTTTTTTTTTTTTTTTTTGGAAAAGACCCTATCAAAGGTCAAGAGAGGCCATATGCACATCTGACCAATGCAGACCTGCAGACCCTTGAGTGGTCTCTTGGCAGCCCAGGCTGGAAAGCAACTGAAATGGGTTCCTGATGGGTCTAGAATTGACATTGGAAATTTGGATCTTCTTGGGTAAATAAGAAGGAACCCTGAAAGGTTTGAGGGTAGCAACAATACCCTTCCGAGATGTCTTTCTGGAAATGAATTAGCAAGGGGTCAACTGAGCACCACCGGAAGGTAGTGAAGGTAGGAAATCAGGCACAAAGATTAAAGAGGAATAGCTAAGGACCCCATTGGAGGGGGACCATGGAAAGAGGAAGACGATGGGAGAGAGAAAAGAAAAGGTTGAGTAGGAATAAGGTTGCATGGGCACTGCCTACCTGAGGAGAAGGAAGAAGAAGAGGGAGAGAAGACAGGGGTTTGAAGGCTAGCAGCTGACAGGGCTACTGCCCTGCGTATCATCAGGAGGAAGGAAAGAAGAGGCACATTTGGTAAGGGTCTGCCTGTGCTGGACCAGCTGAGGTAGGCCAGCTCCACACTGGTGCAGCCGTCCTGGACAGGCTGAGTGAGGGCTCCAAAGTGGTGTGCCCACCTACTGACCTGCAAGCTAAGGGGCAGAGAGTGTGGTAAGATCTCTGGGCATTAAAACAGTGAGCCAGCAGCAGAGACTGCTCTCAAGAAATGTGTAGTACAAAAATACAGGCTGAAGTCCAGCATGGTGGTGCACACCTTTAATCCCAGCAGAGGCTGGTGGGTTTCTGAGTTCAAGGCTAGCCTGGTCTACAGAGTTCGAGGACAGCCAGGGCTATAGAGAAACCCTGTCTCAATAATAATAATAATAATAATAATAAAAAGCATGAGTGTAGAACCAGCCTTTGGCCCACATTGAGAAGACCCAACACGGATGCTAAGCTGAGGTTTAGCAACCAAGGGCCACGGAGACAGTGTGCTCCGCACACCCAGAGCGGGCTATCTGAAAGAAGGGCAGAAGAACAGAACTAGTCCCCAGAAAGGAGACACAGGCTAGTACAGGGTGACCCTAGGAGTGGTCGCGGACACCTGGGGTGTGTGGGTTTCGAGGAGCCTGTGAAGCAAAGACAGAGGCCCAGATGTCAGTGTGTAGACTGTATCCAGGCTAGACTGGGTTTGGGACCTGGACTGTTCTTTCAGTGGTAGCAGAGGCTCTTCTGTAAGAACCATGTGGATCCCTGCCCCCCGACCCCCTGTCTGCTACACTGAAGGGTCCCCAAAGGCCCTTTCTACTGGTCCTGTCTGGCTGCGGCAATCTGTTCCATGAGCCCCTCAGGAATTGACCCGGACCCCATGTCTTAGCCCAGCACAGGGGACGATGTTTTGTGGATGAGGGAGGAGACACTGTGAGGGGCACCCAGGACACAGACTCACCTTCCTGCCATGGGCATCCGAGATGCTGTGCCGAGATACATCCACCAGCTCCCCCTCTAGCAAGACGCCATTTCCCCTGGGGGATCAGAAGGAAGGAAGAAAGGAAGAAAGGCAGGTTCTGTCAGTCCTCGGGGAAGGCCTGAGTGAGAAGCTGCTCTGAGACAGAAACAAGTCTCACCCCAGACTCTATTCACCCAGCTCCTAGGGGGCCTGGTGAGAAGCCGCCACTGTCTTCTTCCCCTATCTGAGCCTCCATCTCTATAAAGAACTTTCCCAGGCTGTGCTGAAGTCAAGAGATGCTCCCCATCTCCCCACCACACACACACACACACACACACACACACAGAGAGAGAGAGAGAGAGAGAGAGAGAGAGACAGAGACAGAGACAAAGACAGAGACAGAGACAGAGAAAGAGAAAGAGAGAGAATAATTATGACCAGACCCTCAAGATTCTTATCCACCAATGAGGAGATAGCAGCTGCCTCACTGTGCTCTTCTCATTCTGGCCTAAGAGTGTGAATGCGAAGGTGATCGTGAACTAAGTACTTATTAAATGTACAGCGTTTGTTAGAGCTGGGCTTAATGGCACATACCTGGAATCCCTGTACTTGGGAAGGAGGATTGCTGTGAGTTCAAGTCAAGCCTTGAATACTTGAATATATAGCAAAATGCTGCAAATAAATAAATAAATGATTCTACTATTTTATTTAAGCAAATTTGGGAACAAGTGTTTTGTTTGTTTGTTTGGTTGGTTTGGTTGTTTTTGTTTTTGTTTTTGAGGCAGGGTTTTCCCATGTATCCCTAGCTGTCCTGGAATGTCATTTGTAAACCAAGCTGCTTTGAACTCACAGAGATCAACCTGCCTCTGCCTTCCAGGTACTGGGATTAAGATTGTGAGTCACCATGCCTGGGTGTTCTGTTGTTTGTTTTGGTGGTGGTGGTGGTGGTGGTGGTGGTGGTGGTGGTGGTGGTGGGTTTTGTTATGTGTAGGTATGTGTGTCTGTGTGAGTGTAAGCCAGTGTGTACTGGTACCTGTGGAGTTCAGAAGAGGGAGTCAAATCCCCCAGAGCTGGACTTACAGGCAGTTTTGAGGCCCCTGATATGGGTGCTGGGAAGTGAACGTGGGTTCTCTGAAGAGCAGCAAGCCCTCCTCACTGAGACGTTTCCCCTGCTTTAAAGATCTTTTACATTCCGGTTTCTATCCATTCCTACATGGGAATCCACCAGGGAATCCACCAGGGAAACGGTTATTGTCACCATTAGCTAGAAAATGCGAGACTCAGAAGTTTGGGGGATTAGCCCAAGTTCACAGGGTACCACACAGAGTGACCAGGGCCACCCCTTTACCACTCCCAGACCACAGTGTTCACAAAAGCAGAAGCTGGGACCTGGGGGGCTTTCTTTGGAACCATCAACACGAGGAAAGTGTGGGTCTAAGCAGGTAGAGAGTGGAAGAACATGGGGCCAAGACGCCTTGCCTGGTGTATTATCTCCTCTCAAATTCTTTCTAAAAACAGTAAACTGACAAAGACAGTATACACTGGAGGCATTTAGCAAGATAACTTGATATATACACACAGTGTGTACGATTCACACACTCAAATCTATGTGCACATTAGATCCTCAGAACCAATTCCTCCTAGGAACTGAAACTACTTCGCTGAGAACCTTATGAGCTGGACTTTAGATTCCGCTTCCTAGATGACACCGTATTTGACTTTCTGGGACTGCCTTCTTTCACATAGCGTGATTCTTTGGCGTCTCTGACTGTAAATGGAACTACCCTGCTTATACCCTGGACAAGGCCTGTTTCTCCTGATGCTCCTGCCCTCCCTCTGTCGGTCCTGCCACACCATGCGCTGGCCCCCTATGGTGCACCATGACAAACTACTGGAGTTTAGAGTCCTGGGGTGGGGTAAGGACCGAGGTCAGTGGGAACCGAAGCACCGCCTCTAGGGTTCCATTTGGGAGTCTGGCGTCCCTTCGGGGAAACGCCTGTAGGCAGGAATTTCAATTATATCTTTCTTCCCGGTGTGTGGCAGTCTAGGAAGCTGGGAAGAGCAGCCTGGAAGCCAGAGGTGGCTTTGACAACGCCAGTTTTATCTCTCACCTCCAGCGCCCCCTCTGACCCAGAACTTTCTCTGAACAGGACTCAGATTATGAGCTCGACCAAGGCCTGGAGCCAGGCTTCAGGGATGCTGGCAGACCATTCTTGACTAACAGTAGGGGGTCAGAGCCCCAGGGACTCGATGTACCCGGCAGTTCCCAAGTCCAGTCCACCCTGGTCAGCAGCGGGAGAAAGTGCAACCCATCCCTGGCCAGCAACCAGGTGGAGAGAGCACAACCCACCCCTGGTCAGCAGCCGAATGGATGGACGGATCACAGCCTACCCCTGGTGGGCAGCGGGGTCCCAGGACCCCGGCAGTCGCGCGCTCTGCACCGCCTTGTTGCGGAGGACACTGTCGTGGTAGATGCGGCTCATTTTTCCCAAGCCAACCAAGGCCGGCAGCTCCAGGAAGCAGTGGGCGCGCGGGGCGGGGCACCAAGGGGAGAGGAGCCGGAGGTCCTTGCAGCGTACGCTTTCCCAGGCAGCAGATCCCGGAACCGTGCTGCCCGCTCTGGGCGTTCCCAAGCTGGACTTAAAGGAGCCGAGCCTCATTCCTGACCTCCAGACCCTGTGCAGTGGCGTAGGGCTTTCCAAGTGACTGTTGTCCTTCATGTCCTTGTAGTTTAAGACAGGAAAGATCGAGAGTTCGAGACCCATCTGTAGTATAGAGACCCTGTCTCAAAATTCATCAGTATACAAAGCGACGGTTGAAGCTCAGGAATTATATGTAGATCTTCCTTGGGATCGATTCTAGGAGGATATTTTCCCAGGGAGCAGAAGGGAGAAAAGGGAACCGGATAAGAAACCACAGAGTGATCTGCATAGACGCTGTCCTTTGGCCCTTCCCGTGATCCCGCCACGACCTAGGGGAGTTCCAGGGACGCGTGAAGGGGTACAAATCAGTGTCAGATCTGCTGCAAAGGAAACCTGAATCTCTGCCATCTCTGCCGTGTGCGCGCGGCAAGTTCCTCAACCTATCGGAGCCCTCATGTCTTCCTCGGCAAAATAAACGTATCCGGTGGTTTGTAAAGATGGAACTCGCCCTCGCCTAGTCTTTCCTTCCCACGCCTCACAGATTCTGATCGATTGCTTCTCTAGTCCCACAGTGCCCTCTGCTCAAGGGTGTCTGCAAGCCTTTTATTCGAAGCTTGCACCCAGGAGTCTCCTCTGACCTGGAAATCATTGGGAAGTCGGCTTGTCTTATTGGCCCCTTTGTGCCAAACCCTGGCGCAGGTGGCCGCATTCTGGGATGGCAGGTGTGCCTCTGCCGGGGGAATAATAGAGAAGTGCCCCCCCCCCCCCCCCCCCCGGCGCCCCCCGGTCCAGGTTGTGTCGTCACGGTTGGAAGAAGCTCCCTCCCCCACACTGTATGACTCACAGTGGCCGCTGGGGGGGGGGGGCGGGAGCGGTCAACAAATTTTACTAGTAAAAATAATTTTTTAATTAAAGCAAGCATTTTTGTTTGTATACATGGGCTGTCTCTCCCTAAAGGCAGAGTTCAAGAGCTCAGCTTTGGACATGGGTAAGATAAAGGTATTTATAGGTCAGGGTAGGTTTCCAAGTGAAAAATAAAACAAGCAAATAGGTTACAGAAGCAGAAGATAAACTTAACAAGTTGGTCATAACAACCCTCTGAAATAAAGACATGGTCACTAGGTGGTCATAACAAGGTGGTTATGACAACTTTTTTTAATGTTTTACTTTTTTGAGATTGTAATTACATTTCTCCCTTCCCTTTCTTCCCCTCAAATCCTCCTATATACCCTTCCTTGCTCTCTTTCAAATTCATGAGCCATTTTAAATTAATTATTATTGTATGTATGCAAGTGTATACACATATATTCCTAAATATAACCTGCTCGATATGTATAATGTTACTCTTATGTGTGTTTTCAGGACTAACCATTTGGTATCGGAGAACCATTAGTTGGCGTTCTCTTCCCTGGGAAAGACTATCTCTCCCTCTCCCAGCATGCCTCAGTTTCCTGTAGTTCTTTGTGTATGTAGTGTTGAGGTCTCCTGGGCTTTGGCATGTCTGTTAGTGTGGAGCATGCTCAGCTCATGTGTAGGCAGTCATGTTAGTGAGGATTAATGGGTGTGACTTCTGGAGTTTCTGGGAGGCATAGTCTTGCAACAAGCTCCCTGACCCGCTGGATCTTACTGTTTTTCTGCCCTCCCCTCCCCACCCAGTGTTCCCTGAGCCTTAGATTCAGATGGGTAATGTAGCTGTATCCATTGAGACTGGTCTCCACAACTCTCTGTTCTGATTGGTTGTGGTTTTCTGTAGTGGTCTCCATCTATTGCCAAGAGAAGTTTCCTTGATAAATAGTGGGGACTTCAGTTATCGATTAAATACAGCCAGGGAGGCTCCAGCTTGGAGCAGGAAGAAACCGGCCACTTGGTTTTTAAGGGCCCTTTCTCCTTTAATAAAATATAAATCTTTTTTTTTCAAGATACTATTTTATATATTCCAGGCTGGCCTCGAACTCGTTATGTAGCCTAGGATGACTTCAAACTCCTTTCTCCCTACAATACCTCCCAATTGCTAGGCTTACTGGTGTGAGCCACCACCACACCTGGATTACTCGGTCCTGGGGGTTCAATCCAGGACTTTATGCACGTTAGATCAACAGTCTTCCCAACTGAGTCACACCCCCAGCTCCAGAAATACAGTCTTGAGGATCCCTAAAAAGCTAATGGGCCCTAGGCATGATGCCTGCGATTGGTCAGCTCCAGCCTGTGTCTAGCCTATCAGGCAGCTTGTGTATTTTCTGGAAGGAGAGATAAAGATCCTCTGGGCAAGACTGCCCTTCTGTCTCCTCTCAAAAATTCTGGGCACCATAGGCACCCGACGGGCCTGCGTCCCTTTTCTTCCCCTTCCTGGGTCATTGTCCCTTCATGACTCTAAATTTGCACTGTCCTCTGTGGCAGCTACATGTAACATTTAAATTTTATTTTAACAGTGCTGGAAATAGAACCCAGAGTGTTTGTGCATGCCGGACAAGCGTCCAACCAAGCTACACACCAGGCTAAATCATAGATCTTAAAATCTTAGTGACATCACCTTTACTGAGTGCAGAGATTGAAGTCTGTAATCCCGATACCTGGGAGACAGAAGAATTTAGGAATATTGCTTAGGCCTGCCTGGGCCATACTGTGGGTACCAGGCTGGCAGGGCCACATTGTGAGACTCTGTCTCAAAACCCCGAACTAGTAAGAATTTTTAAACATAAGTCTGTACATTTAAATTCACTTCCTTAGCCACTAGTCGTATAGTGGGAGGAGGGTGTTTGCTTGTTTTTGATTGTGGTGGTCTCTGTTTTTTCTTGAAACAGGGTCTCACTATGTAGCCTTGGCCATCCTGAAACACGTAGAGATCCTACTGCCTCTGTCTCCTGAGTGCTAGGAATAAAGGTGTGAGCCACCATGCCAGGCAGTTAGACACATTAAAAAAAATTTTTTTAAACTACTGTTGTGACTGGAAAGATGGCTCATCAGTTAAGACCATGTTTACTGCTTTTACAGAACACCCAAGATCGATTCCCAGAACCCACATGAGACAGCTCCCAACTGTCTGTGGCTCCAGTTCCAGGGGATCTGACACCCTCACACAGACACACCTGCAAGCAAAACACCAATGCGCACAAAATAAAAATGATAAAGTCGTTTTCTAAAAAAAGAATAAAAACAAATCCTAAAAAAGGGAAAGAACTATTACCGTGTATATATAATAAGGGGATTGAGTGTGTGTGTGTGTGTGTGTGTGTGCACAGAAGAACGGTGAGGGTCAGAGGACCACGCCGTGGAGTCGGCTCTCTTCTGACACCTTCACATGGGTTTCAGGAGTTAAGTCAGGTTGTTCGGGGTGTGCAGCAAGAGCCTTCGTAGGTGCTCGCTGCAGTGGCCGGCCGTGGCAGTGGCTGCCATCTCAGAAAGCGTGTATAGTGTCATTTTACTCCCCCCGTGCTGAGTATTGACCCTAGGACCTCACATGCTAGGCAAGTGCTCTCTCCCTCATCTCCAGATGCTACAACTTCCAGCATAGCCTGCAGACCACAAACCATAGAGGCAGAAGAACCTTTCTTAAAAGTGGGTTTGGGGGTTGGAGAGATGGCTCAGAGGTTAAGAGCACTGACTGCTCTTCCAGAGGTCCTGAGTTCAATTCCCAGAAACCACATGGTGGCTCACAGCCATCTGTAATGAGATCTGGTTCCCTCTTCTGGCCTGAAAGTATACATGCAAGCAGAACAATGTATATGTAATAAATAAATCTTTTTTTTTTAAAGTGGGTTTTGTTTGGTCTGTTCTGTTTTTTGTTTTTGTTTTTTGTTTTTTGAATATGCATTAATGTTTTGCCACGGGTATTGGGTCCCCTGGAACTGCAGTTATAGACGGTTATGAACTGCCACATGGATGCTGGGAATTGAACCCTGGGTCGTCTGGAAGAACAGTCTGTGCTCTTAACCCCTGAGCCATCTCTCCAGCCCATGATCTGGCCTTTTGCTTCTGTTATTGTTACTGTTTTAAGACAGGCTCTCACATATTCTATATGTGAACTTGCTATAGAACCAAAAATGACCTGGAACTTCTGGTCTCCTGCTGCTGCCCCCTGAAGGTGGGCAGGGGCGTTACAGGCGAGTGCTACATGTGTGTAGCATGTGGTGCTGGAGCTGGAACTCAAAGCTTTGAGCATGCTAGGCAAGCCATCTACCAACTGAGCTACAGATTTAACCTTGGCATATGCTTTTGTAAATGTTTTCATAGATAAGACAATTTTGCTTCAATCAGTGAAGACCACTTTTTTTTTCCCGCCAGGGATTTTCCTCTGGCCCATGTCAGGTGATGAGGAGGTGAAACGGTGAGACAAGATGACGATGCGAGGGTTAGCGGAGTTGACACGTGTGGCCTGTCGTTTATTCTTCTTCCACTAGAGTTTTCGCCAGTCATCTTGGACGGGGACACCCTTCTGCACTCGGTGACCACTTACCTGGTGCAGGACGCAAAGCAAATGACACCAAGGAGCAAAGCAGAGGTCACAAGGAGCAGACAGAGATCACAGTAGAGAAACGTCCTACAGTGCTGGTACTGAGGCCCTGTGGGTAACTAACGAAGAACAACGTAAGAAACAAGAAAGCCAGAAGGTAAACTGGACATGGTGGCACATGCCTGGTTCCAGACTTAGGGGGCTGAGAGAGGAGTGTTACTACAGTTTCAAAGCCAGCCTGGACTACGTAACGAGTTTCTGGATATAGCATGAGAGCCTATTCTAAGAAACAACAGCAGGAACTGAAGAGATGGCTTAGTGGTTAAGATGGCTGTCTATCCAGAGCACCCAGGTTTGACTCTCAGAACCCACATGGAAGCTCACAACTGTCTCCATTTTCAATTCCAGGGGATCTGATGCCCTCTGACGTCTGTGGGTACCAGGCATGTACATGGTGCACAGTCATACACGTGGGTAAACACTCATACATGCAAAGATAAATAAATCTTTTTTCTTAAGTAAAAAAAAAAAAAGGACCCAGAAGCTAGTGTGTAGAAATTTCTTCCAGTCAGCAGACAGGTAAAACAGTAAATGAAAGATTTGTTTATCATTAACTCCAGTCAGAAATCGAAATTCTCTCAGGAATGTTTTTTTTTTCTTTTTCTAAAGCAATGCATGTAATTATAAGCACACCAATCTCTTCCCCCAACCCCTGAAGAAGACAGACATTGTCAAGATCCCTGTTTGGAGCAAAACAGTAAACCACACGGGAGCGCATTCATGCATCGGGTCACAGCTTAGCATAGCTGATA